CGTTCTTCCAAAACATTGGACAATAATTCGGTAGTGTCTGGTAGGTTATGATTGACTCTACAAGGAATATTATCTATAGTATCTTAAAGTTGGCCACGACCGGCCCTTCGTATGTCGCGGTTCGCAGCTCACGTAAAATACGAAGTTTTAGTAGTTGATAGAACTCATAAAGTTCTTCTCTAACACCGCAAATAAGTTACTCTTCGTTAATGTGATTCAACCTTGGTTGAAGATTAAGTTCGTACAAACATTTTATTTGAATAAGGTCACTGTCTTGCAGATAAACACATGTCACTCGTGTGGTTAACCTTTCTAGATGAACTCAAGTTTAACGAACGTAAGCACATTATTTGAATTTCTTGGCAGAATGCTCGTTTGTACAACATGGAGAGTTTTCTGAGCGTTGTCCTTTCATTTTTCGGAACGGAGAAGACAGGTAGTGGCCAAGATCGATTACTGGGTTCTTAGATTCGAGTTTCTCGCAGACGTGACTTTAATGACGTGTTGTAATGCCGCGTATTACCGAGAGAGTTCGCGGTGTGCTCCCGAAGAATGCACAAAACTGCAGGGCCCGCTCTTCCTGGTATCAAGGTACCTCACAGGTGTTTCTCCTGAGGAACTGCTGCAAAAGAAAATGTAAGGTTTAGGTCAGCCTTTTCGGGGATTGAATCTTCAAAATATGAAGACAGATCACAGGATATCACTTGTTACGACAGGTGAAAATGAATTCATATCATTTAAATGTTTGTTGTCCATTATACAGTTATTATGCTGGACATCGTCTGTTACGTAGCAATTCTATGTCTGCTTCCGTTGATGATGTTTGACATCAACAGATGGCTCTGTTCTTTTGGTTCCCGCTTGCATCTGTCTCCCACGTCTGAAACCTGACGATAACGTAAAAAAGAAGAGAGAGACGTAAAGTTGTCTTTATGCTTAAGTAATTAATCTCCACGCCATGAAGACATATGGGGGGAGTGGAGGTATATTTCCGTTAATCTTGACCTCGGCTGTAGATGGCTGTGAATGGTTAGCTTCACACCCCGGCCGCGTTACCTCCAGGCAGTGTACCATCCCGGTACATTGGATGGAACCCAGAGGTGGTCAGGGCACTGTATAATAGACAAAAATCTTTTGCCCTTACCGGAAGTCGAACCACTGTCATGGAGCCCATAGCCCGTGATGCATGACATCTGACGGTAGCTTAGAACATGTTTCGTTGCCCCATGAGAGAGACTAGTTCTGCCTTATGGAACCAACTGAGTAGGATACTGTCCCCTTTTCCACCTGATGATAGGAGCAGATTAAGCTTCTGAAACGTCGTGTAATTTAAATACACCTAATGCGATGGACGGACAGTGTCCAACACAATATTTCTATAATTAAAATTAATTCTCTGTACATCGAGCAATGAACTTTTGTAGTGGAGCTTGGAATGAAGGCTCGTGCAATGACATTCACTCTGGAAGGAATGAATCATGCTCTGACACTGAACTTTGCCTTGCCCCATATGCACACACTGAGGTTAACAGATCTGAACCTTTCTCAGTGCGAAATGAATGACCGTACAATACAAGTTGGAGTGCCAGTGACGTCATCAAGGCGAGGTCAAGTTATACAATTTTAATTCCTTCCAGTTTGGCCCCTGAAGTGCAAGTTGACAGGTGATGACAAAAACGTCACATGTCTATCATCGAGACACGAACTGTCTGCCCAGACACCCTCGTCTCTTCATCCCTTGACGTGGTAGTTGTGACTGGTTTGTCGCCGATGTCTGGGAGTCGGTATAGCTACGGGCTGGAGGGCCGAGGGGTCGGAGTTCGAGTCCCGGTAAGGTCAAGAATTCTCTCTTCTCAACGTCGTCCGGACTGGCTCTGGGACCCTCCCAACCTCCTATGCAGTGGGGTAAAGCGGTTGCAGTGTGAAGCTGACCACTCACCTCCAACTGGTGATGAGGTTAAGAAAACGTGGATCTGTACATCTACTTCCCCGTACGCCTTCATGGCATAGTGCTTAATTACTTAAGCACAGGGACAATTTTACCTTTTTTCTCGCTGGGCGCTTCCTCCGGGGAATTGGGCTGACGCACTAACTTGTTCCACGAAGGGGCAAAAGTTCCTGGAAAAGTGTTGTAAACTTACAACAGCACGTATTACATGGTTACCTGTAAATTACATACATTGTAGTAGTATCTGATTGCATGATTTGTGGTTATGTTTGACTATCTAGGAATCCCAGGATCCCTACTGGTCCATAACCTGAGCCAGTTCACTCCAGTTTACCACCTCACACCATATTTCTTTAAAATGTAGTTTATTATTTTTGGATTTATGGCCAGAACGGTTGTAACTGTAAAGGTTGGTCTGTTCTGGAACGTGTCGCGTCTCAGTCCTTCAGCAGAAGCTGAAGGAAACGGGGTTACATCACAGCAGGCACCCATGTTCACAGTAATATCTTTTTCCTGCCCAAGCCTAGGGAGGCCGACACTTTAGTTAGGCATTGAAATATGTAGCATACTCACACTGTCACGATCGTTGACTGACCATAGACGGGGTTGAACTAGTAATCGGATTTATTGAACTCTTTGATACAGCCCGTGATTGCATTTTACAGTACAGTGGCACACACACACAGTAGTGTCCAAAGTCACATTTTCACTGCCGTTGCTTGGTAGCATCTTCCAACGGCGGACGTTCCCCTTCCTCTAGATTTCCGAAATGTCCCCTGCAACAGCTGCTAGCTTCTAACAGCAACAGTTCACAACAACTGAACCCTAGTAGTTGTCTGATCGGTCGGTTAAATTGCTGCTGGGACTCGCCAGCACAGTCATTTCTGGCTTCAGTCTGATCGAGATCCATGTTCAAAATTTTTTATTCTCGCCTAGACATGTATGTGTGTGCCGAAATGGGGCCTCCTCTTCGACGTAGGAGGGGTCGGTCTTTGTGTGTAGACGCTACGTTTGTTGAACCTGGTCCTGTTTATAACATCTCGGCACGCACCGCCTAGAAAACATCTCTTCCATTATTGCCGTAGAAACATGCTTGTTTGCGGAGCCGTTACTTAGCAATGGCTATTTTATAGTTGCTTTTTTCGTGGTCGTTCCGAACAGTGGGTGTACATGCCACTATACGATGCGTATGCACGAAAGCCAAATTTTCTTTTTCCGCTTCAAATGCATTACAAGGAATTGCAATCAGAAAACATGTGCAGGTATGAGAAATCCGACTGTCCCTGGGGTCGGTGTCATTGAAGACCACAGACGAACCACAATTTGATATAGACCTCGGTTTTCATCAGAGAGCAGATTTTATTTTATATCTGCCATGTGCAGTAGATCGAGATCAGATCGATGAACGCTTGGCAATGTAAGATTTGAGGCTTTCACGGCGGTGATTATGAAGAAAGCAGTCTTCTGGGATTTGGCACCGTGTATATGTGGTGTTAACCGACGTTACTCCGAAACGTCGGTTAACACCACATATACACGGTGCCAAATCGCAGAAGACTGCTTTCTTCAGTGCTTGGTAAGTTCGTAGAAGCAACTGCGATGGTTACATAGCCCTGTTTTGCATATCCCAAGGACCATCTTCGAGCTAAGAATATAGTCCCTTAAGTGCTTCATCGTCTGAAATAGATTTCATTAAACTCAGACACGAACAAGTCTCCTGCATAAATTGTGTGACTTCATGGATTACGGTTCTACGAAACTGCATGAAAACAAATGGAGAGACAGTGGTCCCCCGGCCCATCGCCTCGTTTCTTTCAGTTCGAGTTTCCAGAAAGGAAAATTTACTCTCTCAGCGTTTTGGCGGTTTTCAACAAAATGCACACTCATGTATAGATATTTTATACATATTTACGACATCTTAATGAATATCTTGCCTATATAAATGATACAGGCTTGTCATGAAAAGTGTAAGCCAGTTCATTATCTCAAGTCCGTACTAGCCAGAACGCTTAGTTGCAGTACAGAATATTTCAAAACTGTCTTAACTCATATCGAATATGGGTCTCCACGGCTTGTTACAGGGATAGCTTTACCTTTTCTTCTACAAATTACCGCATCGGCCTGAACAAGAGACGAATTTTTTTATTTAATATTGCTTCTTAGAAAAGAGGGGTCTCTTTTTTTTTTTAGTTTCTTGGGGTCGGGGTGGGACTGAGTCCACTTGGTACGTCGGCCACTAACTGGCCTATTGTACTAGCCACAGATGATAGATGAGTATGGAGCATTTGGTGGAATAAGAAATGGCAAGGGAAACCAGAAGTCCCACCTGACCTGGGCTCGAACCGCGACCACCGGGGTGGAAAGCTGGTACCTAACCGCCTGAGCTATAGCACGGCCTAAACATGGTCTTAATTTTCTTATGCTTACAACCCTCGGAACCACGTGACATATTCAACCCAGTCAAATACAGAGTGTCTCAGGAGGAAAGGTCAATATTGTTGGAGGACATAGCATATGCCATTCTAAGCAAGAAAGTGTATATGTACATGTGTGCTATTCCGAACGGTTTCCGAGATGGAGCTATTTCACTGTACACTGTACAGACGAGCATGTCCTCACACAAGTTGTAAAGTGCATTCATGTTGACGGTGGAATTTTCGAAAATGTATTACGCTAGGTAAACTCTACCCCCTTTGTCACTTGAACAGTAAATTAGAAACAGTATGTAATATTTATTTCTTACCAACAGTTTTGGAACTGTACAGTGAAGCAGCTCTATCTTGGAAACCGTTCGGAATAGGACACATGTACACATAGATATTTTTGCTTAGAATGACCGATACTGTGACCTCCCAGAATACTGACCTTTCCTCCTGGGACACTCTGTATAGGTGCAGTGTGTGATGCTATTCGCTGTATTGTTGTGGAGGCTGTCGGCTTCTTTGTGTTCTGGTAGTGGAGTTCTCTGTTTGTGACCTTCTGTTACGGGGACTAGTCATGTGGAGCAGGAAGCCAGTACAGTTTCCGTTGATGTGTGACTGGTTATTTTCAGATCATGACGATGGATCCCTGGAGCCCGCAGCCATGTTGCTGAACCGCACGCAAGCTGGAGAGCTCTATGTGGGGGAGGGCGGGAACCCAAGGAACGGCCGACCGAAGCGATCTCTGGATGGCGATCTCTATGAGGAATCTGGACTTCATACGCCCCGCAGGAGCAAACGATCGTACTCCCAGGAGTACTTCATCGAAATCATGGTAGTCGCCGACAAGAAAATGGCAGAATATCATGGCGACGGCCTGCACCACTACATCCTAACCTTAATGTCGATTGTGAGCATATTATTATTATTATTATTATTATTATTATTATTATTATTATTATTATTATTATTATTATGGACCGCCTCTGTGGTCTAGTGGTCAGAGTTCCTGGCTACAGATCCAGGTGTCCCGGATTCGATTTCAGGCGCTACCAAATTTTCTGAGAAGTAGTGGGTCTGGAACTGGGTCCACTCAGCCTCGTGACGATAATTGAGGAGCTACTGGAATGGAAAAGTAGCGGCTCCGGTCTAGGAAACCGAGATTAACGGTTGTGGGTATCCGTTGCGCTGACCACGCGACACTCTCCATCCGCAAAACTTGACACTAACTTCGGTCGGTATAGTTCGCGTGCGGGCTAAAGGCCACGGAGTTTACCTTTTGGTTTATTATTACTACTACTACTACTACTACTACTACTACTACTACTACTACTACTACTATTATTATTATTATTATTATTCTCTTGTCGGAGGCAGGTTCGAATACCACCACCGTAGCCCTGCGAGTCGTAGGAGGCGACGCAAAGGGAGCCCAGTGCCTGGGGGTATAACTGGGCCTCCCTCTTCCTGGGGGGATATAAATACGGGGACTTGTCCTCTAGGCTGGGGGTTGAACGTGATGCTGACGACCTTGCTGTGTTACAAAGAATACTGTTGCGAAATTCAGTGGCGTGGAAACCGAAATATTAATTCCCAGGAATGGACAAATCTGATAGATGCTTTTAAGGAAGCCTGTGGCTAAAACGGGCTGTTCTGCCAATTAAAATTATTATTATGCCAGTATTGTCGTATTGTAACAGTAGTAGTAGTAGCAGTAGCAGCAGCATTAAGTAGTTTAACTCGTTTGTTACTGCAACGGACGCGCGAGACAGACATGTCACCTAACTTTGGAAGTGGACAGATGTACTGGCAGTGCAGTTTGCCTGCCGACATTGTTAATTCGGTCTGGAAGTTCAGCTGAGACGCCTGCCTACTCTAAACGAAACACATTCGTGAGGACATGTAGCATGTGGACCCGTTGGTAAGTAATGAGTCAGTAAACAACGGCCATTGCTAGGTAATGGTATCTACAGATTCTTAACACGAACAATGGTGTAACTGGGAAGCGGTCTTCTCTACGCTTTCCCTGCGACAGCTAGTGATGCAACAATAAAAGAAGGTTCAGGAGAGGTGTTTTCTGTGCGATCCGTGCTGATGTGTTATAGGCAGGACAAGTCTACAATTTAGCCAGTTGAGAGACAGTCGGTGGCCAGTAAAAGGCGTGAATACGGAAGCTGGGGGAGCTACGGTGTTGGAAGCCGTTGCCAGGCGACAACCTGTGAAGATACAGCAGACTGAGAGTGCAGTGAACTGCAGAGCGTGTGAATTAGCTAAAGCTCTATAGTTACTTGTAGTTACGTTCTGTAAGAGTTCAGTAAATCCAATTACCAACCAAAACCCCGTCTGTAGACACTCCATAAAACGCGACAGTATTGAGGAACTGACAATTCCCACTGCTCACTGAATGTTGCTGGGATGAGGGCGGGACGCACGCGTTCAGGAGATGGGCACTGCATACAGCATGCAGGTGGGGAATCAGACGCTGGGGACACGAAACTGCGAGGGTGTGAACTGGATGCAGCCTACCTGAGGACGAATTCAGTGTCGATTGTTGTCAACTCGGTAACGAACCTTCGTGTTTCCTGAGAGGTAGGGACTTCTTTCACCACTTGAGAGGCTGGCGGCTTGTCTTGGGGCTTAATGTCTTCACTTCGAACCCGTATGCATTGTTGACCTGTGGCATGGAGCACGATGGAACGCAGGCTCGTTCCTATGTGGTAAGGAAACTGAAAATATTTACCACGCGACACTGAACTGAGGTGCAGGCAGAAACAGTGGTCACGTCGCCCCTATGCCTGTTGCAGTGTCTTCCATCAGATTGTCTGTCCTTGTGACAGACGTGACAACACAAAGGGAACATATATCTTTCTCAGATATGTCAAGTCTCCGCAGCGAGGGCCCCAAGTGGCCCCCAAGCAAGTGTCAGACACGGTTCTCAGCTGTCATTTCTTTCTAATGGAAGGCGAAAGTGTAGAAACTGTAATCCTTCATTATATTATATGCTCCTCAATTTATCCATCTATTATCTGTTGCCTTTATGAAGGAGAGAGAATTTTATTTTTCCTTTCCTCACATAAATTTAAATTCCCTTCAAGGCCCAGCCTTGCTTACGTCATCCGCATTAAATGATAACTAACTACATTAGCCCTCCTTGAGAAGCCGCCAGTTGTGCAACTACTCAAGAATTTCTCAACATTTCGTGGAATCCGAATGTTCAATGCTGTGTTCACAGGGGCCCTTCATTTGTGTCTAACCTTAGCCAAATCAATGGAGTCCACACTAACCCTTTCTGTCTTAAGATTCATTTTAATATTATCCTCGTACCTACTTATTGGTCTTCCCAGTGGTCTCTTTTCTGTTGGTCTTCCCATCAAAATCCTACAGGAATTCTCTTCGCCTCAGTGCTACATGCCTTGCCCATCCCCATCGTAATGTGTTCGTTTTAATTTCTTTTACAGATTTCGGAATGAGAAATTAGATTTGGCAGTTCTGCTGCGCAGTGGGACTCACCGCCAAACATGGCGTGCCAAGTTTGGTAGATAATCACTTAGGGTGAGCGGATGGCCCTGAAAGGCGACTGCGAAGAAAACGTTGGAGGTCTGTTTCAGAAAGCTTCCCCGGCATTGCCCGGCAGGAGAAGAGGGAAGCGTGGGGCCCTGCGCCAGGATAATTAGTACCAAATTTCTGAAGCGACTCGGTTACGTCTGGAATGATATGCCACGCCCACTTCCACATTTATGCACTCTTACGTCTCCCCGGTGACTGTCCTTGAATTGTCTGCACGCATTCTCCCTTCTGCACAGCGTCCTTTTCCCGGTGGTAGAGCGGCCGGAGCGTGCACCTGTCCACCTCTGTTTAGGGCCGATGTTAAGAAGGTGCGGAGCGATACCTCCACGCGTGTACGTATGCATGTTGCAATGGTTAATAAAGCACAGAGACAATTTTTGTCTGTAACTTGACTACGCTGTTAAGAAATGACGTCACTTTGAGGGATTTTGAAACGGTTCCATCGCCAGTTGGGCCCACTGCGAATTTATTGCGGCGTTTTAGTCACCACCGTTTACCGGGTATCGTGAAAGAGTTGAAATGACAGCGTAAAGGAGTCATTTAAGAAGGCAGCTAATCGCCCGGTCTGAGAGTTCTGAATACAAGCGTACAATACAGAACCTCTGTTCATTCCTGTTGTCTATGTCACTACTACGTAAATGTGTCCGTCCATCAGATCGATTTCATACTTTAAATAAATAACTGGTAGGCTCAAATTGTCGATCAAATCAGTTTATTAAGATGTTAGCTTATGCTACGGCTGATTACGGTGGCCGCGCGGTCAGTTTATGCTACGGCTGATTACGGTGGCCGCGCGGTCCAAGGCAAGAACTGTCTTCGCCCGCTTGAACGCTGGGATCGTGGGTTCGAATCCCACTCGAGACATGGATGTCTGTCTGCATTTATTCTGTGTTTGTGTTGTTCTGTGTAGGTAGCGGCCTTTCGATGGACTGATCCCCCGTCCAAGGAGTCCTACCGACTGTGTATAGATTAAGAAACTGAAAAATCGGCCAAGGTCCAACAAGGGGCTGTAGAGCCATACATAGATAGACATATCTCGACTACTTATATATCGTCAAGGGATAGGATGATTGATGAATAATGAACTGGAAAGGATTTGGAAAGAAGCTATCATGGCCTGATGTATTATCCAGGATATTTTCCTGGTGGGACAGATTAAAACCACGAAGAACCCTCAGTCATGATGGCTGATATCCCGGTAGACATTAGAACACAGAACCTTCAGAATTCAAGTTATACAGGTCTGTTATTTGACCATCCTGCTCGGTACTCGCAGGTTCGCATCTCGCCTAGGGATTGAACAGTTCACTGCAGTGACTGTTCACCGCCACGAGCTTGTCTCATTTCTGAAGTTCCGTTATGGGCTAGGCACATCAAGGAGACTTGGGCTCGCAACCCGTAACGTGCAGTGTTGAATGCTGGGAAGTGTCAGTGAGTGATGACGCAATGCTTAACTTGCAGGTGGCCCAGATATATAAGGACCCTTCTGTCGGCAATCCGGTGTCCGTGGCGGTGGTTAAAGTGGAGATACTCAAGGTGAGGAAGGGTTGTGCATAATTACATCATGTCGTTTTTTAATTTAATTCTTTGAGACGTAAATGTGACTAATAAGGTATTTCTAGAGACTAATGATGTTCTAACATGGTCTACTTTCCTTCTTTCAAATAATCTTGTTGCCTCTTTCTTCTGTTTCCTCCACACGTCATTTCCTCTTCTTATTTTCCTCGCGTTTTGTTGCCACTTCTCCCTTCTTCCTCCTCGTGGATGTCATTCATTGTTCTTCTGTGTTTCCTTGCCCTCTTTCTATCCACCACTTCTGTTTATTGTTATTATTGCTAACATGCATAAGAGAAGTGAGAAGTGCGTACGAAATTTAGTGGGAAATCCTGAATGAAACCGGCCTCACCTGGTGGCTTAGAAGCAGATCAGAGTATCATACATAAATATATGCTACGCTGCAAGGCGCAAGTTCGTGGGTTTGATTCTCGATGAGGCCATTCAAGGTTTCAGTTAACTCAATACTTCCAGCCGCACTGTGGTCCTGGGGTCGACTCAGCCTCTAACAGAAATGAGTACCAGAAATCTTCCTGGGAGTAAGGGGCGTGTTCCTGACCTCATCGCCATCTGTGAGCGGATTGTCTAGAAAATATGGGAGCCTCGACGTCTCACAGCCCTATCAGCCTCCACTGCCCGTTAACAGGGATAACTTTACCTTTTTTACCTTTTACACTAAAGAAGTAATGTTATTATATGGGCTAGATAAGTTTAGTTCAGGGTAGGTTCAGTGACTTTGTCTTCTAATGGACTTTGCTGCCTACAGTTCACGATAAGCTTATCAGTCTCCATGTTCAATCCTGTGCCAAAACGGATCACTGAATACTGTTAATGCAGACAAGACGTTCATTCGGTATTTGGTTCAAATTAATCAGTATCGTGTTATGGTGAAGAGTGAATGAACATTTATAACCTGCTCAGCTGTCAGCACGTTCTGAGATATGATAGTCTTCCCGAACAGTGTCGATTTAAACACTCAGACATTTCACGCCTCCAGAACTCGTATTTAACCTCTTTGTATGATTTGCTGCATGCCCAAGAAGCTTCTCGTCTGGTAAGCAGAACTGACGACGACTTCCTAGACCCAGTTCCGATCCTGTGAACATTGTGCGTGAATGCATTACTTTATTGGTAAATCAGATTCTGGACGTTTTGCGTCTCTGACCGTCGGTTTGTTACAGGACATGGAGTTTGTGACGCCAGACAGCAGGCGGAGGGATACAAATAATGACGGTATTTCGGCAGCCGAGATGCTTCGCAAGTTCTGCGAGTGGCAGAGTTCCGTCAACTTCTTGGATGACAGTAGCCCGTACCACCACGATACAGCCCTTCTCCTCACCAGGTACAGTTCAGGGCCTCTTGGCGTTCGTGCGGTACTTGTAGGTCGGAACAGCATGGCGGCAATGCGCCACGTGACCGTGGAGGCAACTGTGCAAGGGGTTCCCCTGTCTACGAACTGGATATCTCGGGCTACGGGCTGGGCGGCCGAGTAATATGGATGGATTCCCGGCAAGGGCATGAGATTTTTCTCTTACCCACACAGCGGAGACTGCGGCTGTGGCCAACTTAGCTTCCCATCCAAAGACATTGCCTGGGAGAAAAGCGCCCGGGGCGTGAATTTGAACACTTCATCTAGCGCTGAAGTTAAGACTGGATGAAGCTGTCTCTCACTTGTATTAATGGCTTGGTTCTTAATTAATCACAGGGACAGTTTTAATCATGTGGCACTTATGTGATTACCAAGCAACTTAAGATTATTGCTAATACATTGGCCGCAACTTTCATTCTGTTAGCGTCCCAGCTACCTGGCAATGATAGGTTCGAACCCAGTCCATGCTGCAGACGTACATATAAATACGTACTCTCTCATAAGCTAGAGCAGGTTTTGCACAGTTATGTATTAAGGTATTAAGATACCATAAAGAAAAACACACAAACGTTAATTGACTCAAGTAAAGATGTTGGTCTAGAAATAAACACAGAGAAAACTAAGTACATGTTGCTGTCTCGTCACCAAAATGCAGGGCAAAATCATGACATAAAGATAGGAAACAGATGTTTTGAAAATGTGACACAGTTCAGATATTTGGGAACGGCGATAACAGATTGAAACCTGATTCAGGAGGAAATTAAGAGGAGATTGAACTAGGGTAATGCTTGCTACCATTCAGTCCAGAACCTTTTGTCTTCTCGTCTGCTGTCCAAAAACATAAAAATTAGAATATACAGAACTATAATTTTGCCTGTGGTTCTGTATGGATGTGAAACTTGGTCTCTGACATTAAGGGAGGAACATAGACTGAGGATATTTGAGAACAGAGTGTTGAGGAGAATATTTGGACCGAGGAGAGATGAAGTGACAGGAGGTTGGAGAAAACTGCATAATGAGGAGCTTCATAACTTGTACTCTTCTCCAAGTATAATTAGAATGATCAAGTCAAGGAGGATGAGGTGGGCAGGACATGTAGCACGGATGGGGGAGAAGAGCAATGCATATAGGATATTGGTGGGAAAGCCAGAAGGGCAGAGCCCACTGGAAAGACCAAGGCGCAGGTGGGTGGACAATATTAAAATGGACCTCAGTGAGATAATATGGGATGGTATGGATTGGATTGATCTGGCTCAGGATAGGGACCAGTTTTGGACTCTTGTGATCACGGTAATGAACCTTCGCGTTCATGCGGGGAAATTCTTGAGTAGCTGCAGATTTGGCTTCTCCTCAAGAAGGGCTCAGCTCCATGAGTAAGTAGGTAAGTAAGTATGTATCAAGTTAGAGCAGTTTGAGTTAATTTAAATTCGATTGATTAGGTTAGGTCGGGGTCCATTCACTTTAGAACCCTTTGGATTTTCTCCCAAGGATGGAAAGTAACGGTAAATTGGTGCCTGTGCCTAACTAATTGAGCAATATCCCATGAAGACGTATGGGGGAGTGGAAGTACAAGCTCTACCATTCTTCAACTCGGCACTAGATGGAGGTGAGTGGTCAGCTTCACGCCCCGGCCGCTTCATCACCGGGGAATTTGCTCCCGGTACCCATTGGACAGGAGGCTGGGTGGGCCCCAGAGTCGGTCTGGACGCTGTGAGGGAGAGAAATATCTTGCACTGCCGGGAATCGAAAGTCCAGCCAGTCGCTATATCGACTGAGCTAGCTGGATCCATTAAAGATTAAAATAGGTCTGTGTGGGTGTGAAACAGACGCAGTTTCCGAAACGTCGTGTTTTCTAGTTTGTAGATTACCTGTCGATGGAAGAAGTCCCCAAACCCAGCAATTCTGAGTGTTACACACCAGCGTCAGAACCCTCTAGAATCTAGAGTACTAGGAGGTTGGTGTGGAATGGTCTCGAGTCAGTTGTAAAAAAGGCACGCAGTTGGAAGGGAGCCGCCCTTCAGAGAGGACTTGGTAACGGAAACAGAGGAATGGCCACTGTTGGAGCCTTTACCAGGCAACTACTCTGGAAAATACTTAGCATGTGCTGTAGTAAATTGTAAAGTGTGGAGAATAGCGCTGGTGCTATAATTAAGCGTAATTACGAGTTGTGTGTTAAAGTGGTCAATAAATCCAATATCCAACCCCAAACCCCGACAGTACTGACAAGGAATTCTACGTAGAACTCGTGAAGTCCATTTTCCTATGTCACTGACGCCCAGTTCTGAAAGTGTTGCCCTGTTAATGCCATATTCAAATATATATATGTAGCGTATTATAATAAACCCTCGCTAATCCGGTTACAGGTAATCCGGATCGAAACATGAAAAATGGAAAATTCTGTTCACAGTTGAGTACATACTTTAAAAGACACATGACCTTTGGGAACAAGAGGGATTAGAGCAAGGGGACTTTCAGACAGTGTTGAGGGCAGCTGGGGAGACTGAAACCGCACAAGAAAATATCCAAGATTGGCTTCAGCTGGATGAAGGAGACCATGGATATCAGGTTCTGGCAGAGGAAGAAATTGCTGCAGTCATAGTTTTTTATTTTCATCAGCAGTAGTTATATTATTAAATTTTCCATTTATTTGTTTTATATTTTTTTTGTCGCCGGGCTTTTTTTTTTTGCTTCATTAGTCCGGATTACAGGCTAATCCGGATAAACCCCTTCCAAACTGATTCGGAATTTCGGGGATTTACTGGATATATGATCATCATAGCTCGTGTTTCTCCCGCACAGCGCATCGCAAGTGGGACACAAGGAGATGATTGCAAGAGACGGGGGTGGGGGGCACTTGAGAACGATAGTATCGTGTTCAGAGGGGGGGGCAGCGTTACTGCCGAGAGTCTGAATTCCAAGCCGAACGTGAATCTGGAGCAGCCCATCAGCCCCGCCCACTTTATACTCTCTGTTGCATTTAGGACCACATTGAAGCCTGGAACAGGAACAACACAAAAGCAAACGTCCGCACACGGAGAAGAAACCCAGTCACTATGTTACATTCGAGATGATAAGAAGAAACGGAAACAAGCTCCTTGGCCTGTAGTCCGCAAGCGAACTGTACCGACCGAGCGACCGGCGCTTGTCGGCGAAGTTAGTGCCAACTTCAGCGGATAGAGGGTGTCACGTGGTCAGCGCAACCGATCTCGGTTTTCTAGACAGAAGACACTACTTCCTTGAAATATCTTCTCAATTATCCTCACGAGGCTGAGTGGGCCCCCTTCCCCCGTTCCAGACCCCCTACAAAAACAAACACATAAAGAAGTAAAAAGTAATAAAAATATGTGAATAACTCCAGAAACAGAAAGTAAACAGCGAACCCTGGATGATAAACATCACCTATAATACGCAACGAATAGCATAGAATTTTACGTGTACTTTGTAACGAAGAGAGAATAAAAAAAATTAGTATTTAATATATTTTTACAAATTTAGTAATAATTACATGTATTATGATTAATATATTAGGATATTTCAGCACCCAGATGCGTATTTAATAAAACTGCCTTATGGACCGAAACATGTAGCAGTTGTTAAATAAAACCAATTTAAACAATTTTATTTTTATTGGTGTGCCGACAGCACAAGTTTAGTATCAAGCCGATTCGGAATTTAATAATTTAACGGTTTTATGATTTCTTTTTAAATCGGAGATCTGAATTTGCAGGCATCTGGTTACGAGGCTTCCTCCCATTATGACAGTTTGCTGCGTTTTCCTAATTGAGTAACAGCAGTCGGGTATTATCAGTTTACTGTCCAGCTCTGATTTGAGACGGGCGGCTGGCCTACGTTGCTCTGGGCTGCAAGAACAGATGCACGCAGACTGAGGTCCACTTATTTACGTATTTGTAACGCTAGGAATTGCTTGTCAGCCCTGCCCAAGATATGAATCGAGACTTAATTAGCGTAATGGCTGATTAGGCGGTTGTGTATTGTAGCATCCGTTACTAACATTTTAATACTGGTGTTGTGTTATTTATTGCCAGTCACCACAGACAGCTCTCGATTCTAATGGTTAATATGATGTTTAGAAGTTAATGACTAAATGATACAATGTATTTTTTTTCCTTGGCACTACAGCCCCAGTGAGCCTAGGCCTACCTCCATGAACTTCTCCGTTCACTTCGGTTTTTCTAGATCGTACACATTCGGTAGGACTCCTTGGGCGGGTGGTCAGCTCGTCACAAGGCCTCTACCTGTACACAAACACAGGAAAACGCACACAAACATCCATGCCCTGAGTGGGATTCGAACCCACGATCCCGGTTTCCAAGCGAGCGAAGACAGTACATGCCTTAGACCGCTGGGCTACCGTGACCGGCAATACAGTGTATTTGTAAAACTAAATTTTGTGTCCTGAAACTGGAGCAGTCAGAATTGAAATGCCGTTTACTGTTTGCATGAGTTAGTAGTGCTGTAGATCTGCTTTCATTATTGTTTTCTTTCTCTATTTTGCCTTCATTCGTGGGATGTTTCTTCTCGTTGGAACGGAGATATTGAGGGAAGGCGAGGTTAAAGCTACTTGTCTTTGTGATTAGCATTCAGTGGTCTTCTACATCGAATTTCAGAGCGCGCAAACCTCACTGACTTTTCCTTGTGCTTTAATTAGAATGATCAAGTCAAGGAAGATGAGGTGGCCAGACCATGTAGCACGAATGGGGAGGAGAATTTATATAGGATATTGGTGGGAAAGCGGGGACATTTTTGAATAGCTGCACAAGTAGCGGCTTCTCGAGAAGGGCTTAGCCCCATGGAGTTAATTTCCCCGCAGTACGTTCATTCAAATCACGGAACAATGCTGATTGTCTTCCTGACCGTACGCTCTCACAGTGCGATAATTATTTTAAGGGACGTAACAGTAATAAGACTCAAATTGTTTTTGACTTGATTGCGCTTTGTATGACTTTTCAAAG